GGATGCTCATGGATGACTCATGCTCATGGATGACTCATGCTCATGGATGACTCGTGTGCTTTCGCATGAGCTATGGCTCGTGCGCGAGTCAATAATAATCCACTGATGGCTCCTGATCCTAGTGGATACTTTTACAGGAATTCAACTACTGAATACTTCCACAAGGAATATCGTGCAGGTAATAGTGATATGGTGATCGTAATTCATGAAAACATTCAGAGGGTGACATTTCGTATGATGCATTCCTACAGGGTGTCATGCAACCTAGTAGGAATTAAAAAAATCTTGGTGTAGTTAACCATGTGACTTAACGTGCTTGTCCACATGTGTATGTGGGCAAGCATGTAATATGTTTGAGTGTCAAAATCATTCTTTTTTTGTGAATGAGGCTCATCAACAATATAAAAAACTAATTTCAAATTTTCATTTTTGAGTGACTATGGCGTGGTCAGCTGCGCTTGTTAAATCCAGCACGGAGAGGGTGAGAAAAAACTCCCAGGGAGTCCTATTTGTTATCGCTGAGACAAACTTAAAAGTTGGCAACAGATTAGACGACACGAGGCAAACGAAGCCGTACCCAAAGTCGACTCACGCACTCCCTCACATGACGTGAATCCCATTGTTACCCCCCGCAAATCCCCCGACAGCTACTTGCCAACATGAGACGATTGGGGAAAGACCGTTGCGTCTTGAATCTCCCAGGTCACGTGAGAATTTTTGTTTTCGTTATTTGTTTCCTGCAGAAAAATAAGATGCCGAGGCTAACCGGGAGATGTGTTAAATGAAGTACAACTGCTGACACTGTTTTCACACTTCCATTGATTTCATCCATTTTTTCCTAGTGCATCGCTCTTCTTGAAATTCTGTGAGCAGCTGGAAAAAGATACCGCACGGAGAAGCTTGAGCAGCTCGAACGAAGTTAGATTCCATGAAAAACCTATTTCGGCATGATAAATTTAATTCCAAATTTCCCCGCCGCCCTTTTCGGCCCAATTGACAACGAAGGAAATGAAACCAAGTCTAAACATCTCGGCATGCCTCTAAAGCTCGAGCGAAAGTTGAAACGGAATATTTCCACGGCACACAATGCTGCGTGATCGAAAGTTCTCCACGTGTTCGTGGATGCACACGTGAGAGCCATCAAATCGCATTCCATCTCGAGCGACTGCAGGCTTCGCACTAATGGCTTGCCTGCGCGTGGCGCATGTCAGGTTTGAATTACGGCAATCCTCGTGCCGACAGAAGAAATCCCGCTTTCACATGGTCACGATTGTGTATTTCAGAGTATATGGCAAATCTAAATTCATAATTTGCTTTAAAAATAAAAGTCAGTTTTCCATTACGTCCTCGAAGGAGAAACTTTTTAGCTTTTTAACCAAAATTCCTCTAAGAATTCCACTCTTCCGGAAATGTATGAATTCAATAAGAGGATGGAACACCATCTATTTGCGACTGATTAGGATTCCGGCCTCTTGCGGGATCCAGTCGCAATATTTTCCTGCATTCCAGACTTGGAGAGGTTCTAATGACACGTAGGCATTGCATACATTGAGATGCTTCTAACGCAATTAATTTATTATTATATCATGTATGGGCGGAATGTCGTTAGTTCCTACTCTTTTTTTTCCCGGCAGCCTATTTCGTTTTCAAATTCCCGGATTCAGCCTTTCGAAAATTGTTAGGGCTCTGTCTGTTTACCCAGAATTTTTTCCAAAACTCCCTCGATATTTATTGAGTGGGAAACAACGGTAGACGTACAGTATGTATACTGTATAATTTTTTGCTAATGCAAGCAACTCATTGCAGTCGCCGTGACGTTTTTCATAGTGAGAAAACCTTGATTACTTTGAAGTTTTTATTTTATTATTTGAAGTTTTACCATGTGGAGGGCATTCAGAAAACTTATTCTATGGCATCTATTGAGTCTTGGAATGGCATCTACTCCAGTTTCTTCTCATCATCGTACATCCGTGAAGGCCGTCATCCAGAAGTCATCCATTATCATAATTTTTTAGGCATAATTTCATTATTTTCATGATATCGTATGTCAGGCAAACCCCCCCAACTGATACCCAATGACATTTCACTGCCTCGTCCCTACGGCAAGTAAGAGGCCCAAGCGAGCACTCAAAACTGCCCTCAAAAGTAAGCTAAGACTTTCAGAAAGGAATTTTCTTGGACTCACTTCAAATTCCATCTAATTCGAGACGCTCATTCGGGCGTCTCATTCTCTACTCTATGTTTCAAGGTATTCCCTATTCGGATAAAACCATCTGGAAACAAACTGGACTTCTGCCTTCTCCTGAGACCCACAACCCTTCGTATATCTACGAATCGCCATTATCTTCTTCCCCGATATTTACCACGAAATCCACTTCACATCTACTTGTGATTGAGAGCATAATAATTCAGAGGTAGTCAAAGGGATTCAGGGATATCCAATAGGATTTCTGGCTCGTTTTCAGGCGCGCTCACTCAGGTGTAACGACGCAGGTGCTACCCCCCCCCCCCCCCGCCAAAAATAATGATAGCAAAATGTTGATAGGGAAATTAGCTGCTATTTTTTTAATTATTGCACTTTGAAATAAATTCCTAGAATCTGTCCATCATCGACAAACGAGATGCAACTTTTCAGTTCTTTATGAAGGACACGTGTCTTTCTAAAATAAATTGCGAGGGGCGGTAAGAAAGTAATGCACATTATTTTTTAAGATCTGGCTCACGCATGGAAGAACGACGAAAATTTCCATAAAGAATGATTCCATTCATCCGCACTTTCCGTGCACGTTCGACGAGATGCCATTTGATAGCAGCGCCAATACACGTTTCAACTGTTGCAACGAAAGTGCGTAAAACGCTGGGAGCAGCGATTGAATTCCTCGCCATAGAGAGAGTTTCCCCAGCCGAAATCCATAAGCGACTGGAAAATGTCCACGGTGCATCTGCCGTCGATGGAAGCACGGCAACAAGGCGGGTAACCCCCGTGAAACCGAGGAAAGAGGTCTGGAAGACAAGCCACGCGGCAGTCGCCCTGCCACGGCAGTCGCCCTGCCACGGCAGTCGCCCTGCCACGGCGGTTCCACCAGAGATGTCTTCTAGGAGCGAATGAACTGATTCGCGGTGATCGACGCAACACAGCAAAAGAGTTGTCGTTGGCCAGACCTTGCGCCATGAGATCATCATCTCTTCGGCCCACTTAGTGATGGACTTTGAGGAAAAATCTTAAAGGACGATGACGAGTAAAGGACGCGGCGCGTAAAGGGCTCTGCAGACGGGAAAATAAGTTTTACAGCGGCGGCATGAACGCTCTTGTAAATCGGTGGAGAGAGTGCATAGAAAATTATAGCGACCTTGTGGAAAAATTGCTGCATGCACAGTAAGGTTTAGTCGTTTTCCCTGCAAATATTCAAGAATTTTCAATAAATAGTTATGGAGAAAAAAAAAACTGATGTGGATTTATTTTCGTACTGCCCCTCGTATTATGTATTACGGTTCCAGGTCACTTCGACGGACACTTCTTCGGCACTTTTTTCGATTAAATTTTACGATTTTAAACTGCCTGAACCCTAATCTGACGAAGGCCCTTCGAAGAAATGTCCTCCGAAGAAGCGACCTAGGACCATGCCTTAAAAGCGGAGGTGGCCGAAACTCCTTGAACTCCCCTCGTACGCTTCAACCTCGGAAAAAGGCGAGGAAACGAGCCAGACCCGTTCCCATCGACCTGCCAGGCCCGCAATCGCTTTTTTTTCCAGCACCTCGATCCACGTGCACAACTGTGGAAGGTTCACAGTTCAGCTTCGCCTTTTCCATGAAATCCTGCAGAGCATTTCATTTTCCAACGAAAACGGAAAAGAACTGGCCTCATCAAGATCATGGAACATCGATTCGGAGCAGGACAAGTTCACTGGTCTTCTCCAGAATCCTTTTGTCACTTCTTCTAACAATCCACACGTCAACGCATTTGAGCGAAAATCAGTCTGGAAACGCTCCTTCGGCTTAGGTCTCGCCCATTGACAGCCTTCAAGACACTGCTTACCTTCTTTCTTTCAAAGGAATCTCGACCTTCGACTCGTTCTAATTAGGAATAGTGGCTCCCATCTCGAGATTTTCGAGACACCTCGGTGAGGGAGCCTACGGTTAGGCTCATCTAAAGTGCATTGCACCATCTCAACTCGGAGTTTTGTGGAGAGACTGCCTCCGAAATCAAGGAAGCGCGTTGGATGCCTGGCTGAAGAGAAGTCTCATCTATGAAAAGCATAATCTCTGAAGCCTCATCCCTGTTCCTCATCCCTGTTCCTCATCCCTGTTCCTCATCCCTGTTCCTCATCCCTGTTCCTCATCCCTGTTCCTCATCCCTGTTCCTCATCCCTGTTCCTCATCCCTGTTCCTCATCCCTGTTCCTCATCCCTGTTCCTCATCCCTGTTCCTCATCCCTGTAACTCCTTCAAATTTCCCGAGTTTAAAATCGCCCCGAAACGTCTGATTTTTATTCAGATTCTTAAAAACTCCGATGTGATCGGAAAGTCCTTGATCTGCGTACATTGCTGATGACGTCATTCCTGCTCGTGACCGTCCATCGCATCTAAGTGTCGTTCCATCCCCATCCGCTCATGCTTCGATTCTCCTTTGTAATTATTGGGGGAAACTCTTGCTTCCTTGACACTCATTGGCCGAACCACGAACAGGCAAATGAGACAGTCGTTGTTCCTTTTGGAGTGCTCGAAACCTTTCCGGTCGATGTAGACATGTCAGTTGAGATTCCTTTCTCACTCAGTGAATCGCTTCGAGCAGACTGACTGGAGATCTCAGCAGAATTTTCGTCGTCTTCCAGTCGAAGAAAGCCAGCAGGAAAATTCTTTCCGACACGTTGCCTGGCTCATGAAATTAACAGTTATCGAGAAAAAATTTTTATCTTTCCGCTCACCCTGCAACTCTTCGAAGCTCAAAAAAGTTAAGGGATTGGCAAGATAGGGACTATCCTGTTCCTGGTTCATGTCATGATGCGGTCTGAAACCAATCGAGGCGGCAGAATCATCATGATGCTGGACCAAGAATGCCAGTGGGAAGTCTTCCTGCGGGACTCGGTCCAACTGATAGCGGACGACGCGGACACATACCAGGAAGCATTGAACAGACGGTTCACCGAGCATAATATGGACGATCCTTCTTCGATGAATGATCCTTTTAAGGATCGTGTTCCATTTTTCATTCTTCAGCCACCTGCATGCAATGTACGTCTTTCTTCAGTCCCAGATTTAAATAAAAAACAAAAACAAAAACAAAAACAAAAACAAAACTGTAAGCTCAGATGCGAGGAAGGCCCGTCCATCCGCAAACAGCCTTTTCCAGCTGAACGCTCCACTTGCCCAAAGGAGAGGGCATGCGCTCGTTCGTTTCAGTACACGTACCGCCGATGAAATCATCCCCAAGGCCAAAGCGACGAGTATAAAAGCCCGCGAGCCCGAGCGGAGTCCTTCAGAATCCAAGAGAGGATCGTCGAACGATGATGAAGACCCTCGCAATCGCAGCCGCCGTGGTCCTTGTGGCCCTGCTCGTCGAAGCCAGCGTCGAGGTACGCCCTTCCACGCCCTCTTTTCGATATCTGTCATTATTTCTGTTACCATCATAATCAAGGTCACAGCGTCGGAAAATCGCAGCGGGGATTTAAAGGCGGAGCCGTCGGCGTTCCAATGCTAAGTTCGACGACCCGGATAGAAATTTTATTTGGAATTTTATTTATTATTTATTTATGATTTGCGAAGGAGCTTCAAAATTCTGTCGGCTCGGGGTGGGATGAACCGGCGGATGTCATCAGACTCGAATCATCAGTTCAAATATCATCAGACCGGGAAATAAATGAAAAAGGGGGGCAATCAAAAGCTTCTCGATTTAATCAATTCTCATTTCTTAAAAAAATAAAATAATAATAATAAATGTGCGAAACAGTTTTGATGCCATCAATCGATAATCGATATAAACGTGTTGAAATGTTCTGCTAATTTGAAGAGTTTAGACACTAATTAGCAATGAACTTTCGATCGAATACAGCTATGCATTGCGCATTGAGCCGGAAATTGTCGAATTTCTCCTGTTACTCTCAGCCTCTCATGACTATGAGAAGACATGCACATGTGCAGGTGGATTGCGTTCACCCGATGTTTCATTTTATCTTTGAATATGGGGGGGGGGGGGATTTGGATGTTAAAATTGCATTTTCATTTTCACCGCAGGATTTCAAACTATTTGGAAAGGTTTAATGCGACAAGTAAATTCCTTGTGTTCACAGGACGGGAGATTCTTCGGACTCTCAGAGGAAACTGGAGCAGGTGAGATAGATGTCTCGTTTCAGTCCGTCTGACCCCAGTGCGTGGGGTCACAGATCGTCGTCGATCGAGAATGGTCCATGAATCCCGAAGTTTTTGTCTCCCCAGTAAAGAGGCAACGAGGAGGACGCGGAGGACGCGGCGAACACCACGGGGGCGGCGGATACTACGGGGGCGGCGGATACTACGGGGGCGGCGGATACTACGGGGGCGGCGGACACCACGGGGGCGGCGGACGCCGCCGGAGAAGTTCGAACTATTTCCTCAGTTTCAAAATAGAAAAATTATTAGCAAATATTGAAAATCAAGCGATATCCATAAGAAATCCATCGTCGACTTCGCGAAACGACCGGCTCCTCTAAGGAGACAGTGAAGAGATCTAGGACGTCCCCATCTTCTACGGATGGTGAAATCCAAAATGCAATCGGAAATCCATAGCTTCCAAAGCCCGCGACGAGAAATTCCGCCAGAATAAATTCTGCCATAGTAAATTCCGCCATAATAAATTCCGCCAGAATAAATTCCACCATAATAAATTCCGCCATTCCGCATGTTTGCCTTCGTCAATGCATTTCATCGACGATCCAGCACAGGCCAGTGTGAGAACTGGCTGATCAGCTGAGCGCATCCGGCTTGGCGCCACTGAAGCCACAGAACACGGCCGAACGAAATCCATCGAATCGATGCGCGAAAATCCTCAAGTTCGGTAACGAACTTGATGCAAATGAAACTAATGAAACCTAGGAATCCTTTGTCCTACTTGCAGCTACAACCACGACCACGACCACGACCACGACCACGACCACGCCCACGACCACGCTCACGACCACAACCACGCCCACAACCACGGCCACTTCAACGTCGACCGATTCAACGACGACCACGCCGACCCCCAGCACTCTGACACCGACATGTTGTGAGTTCTCATTCAGTTCTGATGAGAGGTTTCGCAGATAGCGAGTGCGTCTAGCGTCTGCAGACTTTCGGCTTCGTCCCTGCCGGTACCGAAGACTTTCGGCTTCGTCCCTGCCGGTACCGAAGACTTTCGGCTTCGTCCCTGCCGGTACCGAAGACTTTCGGCTTCGTCCCTGACGGTACCGAAGACCCCCACCACCGTGTCGACAGATCGCCTGTAGCGAAAAGTTTCCACGATGGAAAGTCGGTGATTACCTCGAATTTTCCAGATTGAAGAGAAATCACAATCTTTCCTCGCGTTCTTACGTTTCAACGGCTACCAGATGCACCCGATGAAACCTGGTAACTGAACGAAACTGCGAAGGAAACTTGTCCGTTCGGCATCGACTCGACGATGCAAAATTCAAGGTTTTCAGCGTCGAAAACATCGGATCGACGCCGCTCCGCCGAATCTGCACAAATATGCTTGGGCGAAAATTCATGCCGTCGGGAGCCCGTGCAGACGATCGGAACGAATTCGACATCGGAGCGGATTCGACGACGGAACGTCTGCCGTGCCGTTTTCGTGTCCGCACTACCGTTTTAGTTTTGCCGATTTTTCGATTCCAGTTTGCGGACTGTCCCTGACATCCAGCAAGCGAGCGGGCGGGGCTCGGAATCGCCCTGGGAACCGGATCGTCGGGGGAACCCCAGTGATCGCTCAGGGGAAGTATCCGTGGATGGTGCATTTCAACACCACGGAAGATGGGTTCTGCGGGGGGTCGCTCATCAGCGATCGGCACGTTCTCACGGCTGCAAGCTGCTTGAAGAGGTGAGGTGTCGCTCCTTTTTTTTCGCGTGATGGGTCGTTCGGCTTTCTCGTGGTGTCGTCGATCGACCGCATTCGAGAATAGATGCAAGTAGGCCATATCGGCCGACGTAACGAAAGTGGATCCTTCCCACCAGCCTCCCGGACTCGGTCACGGTGACGCTGGGAGACCTGACGTTAGGAACGGACACGGAGAGCTTCTCCATCGACGTCCCCGGCAACGTGACCCTCCATCCCCTGTACGACCCGAACAGCCTGATCGACGACAACGACATCGCCATCATCACGCTCGAACAACCGATCGACTTCGTGGGCTTCAAGAACATTCGGCCCATCTGCCTCCCGGACGCCTCCCCGACCGTGGGGGACGTCGACGTCGTCGCCGGGTGGGGCGCCACCGCCTGGGGTGAGCGAGGGTCGATTCATTAATCCTAGATCGTCCGTCGCTCCTTTTAAAATCTCTGCAAATCCATCAAATATTTCCTTCAACAATTTTTAAATGAATTTTCTCACTCGCGGGAGACGCACTCCTACGATGGCCCTCTGCTCATATTGTCCTCGATGCCTTTCTCGTGCCCGACTCAAGGTGGACCTCTATCGAATGCCTTGTTAGAAGCGAATATGGCAGTCGTCAGCCGGACCGAATGCCAAAATGATATAGGCCCCATCGCCAACAACGTCATCTGCGCCAAACAGCCCGAGAAAGCCGTCTGCACCGTGAGCGTCGGGTTCTTCTTGCCCGCGAACGTGTCGCGATCGTTTGAACGGGTGTTCTCTTGACGTCACTTTTGCAGGGTGACGCGGGGAGCCCGCTCATGAAGAAATCCTCGGGCGGTAAGTACGTGCACGCTGGGGTGAAGGTCTTCCAGCAAAGCGGTTGCCCCGCGGGGGGCGACGGAGCCTTCATGAATACCAGAGGTGAGTCCTTCCATCCGTCCCCCTTTTTTTTAAATCTTTTCTCTTCCGCTTTTTGACACGAGTCGCCTCTCCTCCCAGCTTACGTGGACAGCTTCATCACCGATAACACAGTCGGGGCCCAATGGTGTGCCGTTCCTTCGTGATCGCTCCCATCCTCTCCGCTGCAGTCCCGATAGGAGGCTGCGATTTTTCGTGCCGCCCACAGCTCTAAATCGGACACGTGGCATTTTTTTCGTATTGGGGATATTTAAGAAGAAAGTCATACAATTCTGTGAACATTTATTGCTGCACGATTATCTCTCTCTCTCTATATATATATATATTTATGCATATAATAAAGAAAGTTTGTCTGTCGGTTCCCTTACTGTATTCGGATCCCTTGGAGCCAGTGCAACCAAACTTTTCATGGCTTCCTCTTTCATCCAGGGGAAAGTCGAGGGCTACGTTTCCATCCAAATGTTCACTCCAGGGATACTTTTCCGAGGTACTGTACTGTCTGGGACACCAAACCGACGATCAGGAGGACCGAGTTCGATTCTCGGCCGTCCCCTGCATTACAGTACCCCGGGTAATCCCATTACTGGGTCACTGCAGTAGGTAATGAGTCAAATTTTTTAAATCAAGTTTTCCTCGAAAATGTTTCAAAAACGAATTTTAAAAACTTACAAATGTTTTTTTGACTCCAAAATCAATTAGAAATCATTCAAAGTGTTCAAACCGATTTTTCAGAGCGATTTACAAAGCGATCAAATTTAATATGTCAAAAACCCCTTTAATAAAAAGTTTTATGAAGGGAAAGGGGTCCGAGCGCAAATTTGCGACACCCAAGTTTCGGGAACTTCCATAAGGCTATAATTTGCCCCAATTTGTCATGCACAAAATATTGAAATATTTAATTTCCCCAGGCAAAAAAGGGTACTTCAGTTGGTTTTTAAATATTTATTTTTTTGTTTTCGGTGTTGCTTAACTGAAAATAAAATTTTTCCGTTTCAGCGATCAAATTTGCTGAGCATCCATGCCATTTCATCTGACAATTTCGATTCGCGTTGGGAAAAGAAGCCTGGGGGAAAAAGTATCAGAAGCAAAAATAAATTCAGTATTTCCCCCTTAAGCTGCTTGTTCCATTTAACTACAAAAACAGAAACTTCCTTGTCCACAAATTTAAAATCAAAATGGCACATAAAAAACCAATTATATTGCTGCACCTTTTTATTTTGCTGTGATCCCGAAATTTAGTCAATCAGTCAATCAGGGCAGTCAATTTTAATATTTGCGTTACTTTGAGTTCTTGGTATGTAATAAAGTCAAATTGACTCATGTCCGTGTGCAGCACATCGCTCTCACTTCATAATTAGCACTTTTTCTCTCGCAAATTTCTCCCAAGCGACTGTCATCGTTCTTCTCGCGTGACGAACTTCGCAATTCCCCCCAGAAGAACCCCCAATTTCAGCCTCTGGCGCAGTCTGTCTGTTTCCACCAACGATGACCGTCGATGAAGTCTCACTTCGGAGCGCCGTCGACGGATCTTCCTCTTCGCAATGACCTTGAGTGAAGCCATGAGTCCAAAGACCATCCTCGAAGTCCCGCCTAGCTGGCCCCAAGTCCAACCCACGGAATCCGAAATGTGATATCCAGAGGCACCTAGTTCAGAACTATATAAATCGAAAGGGATTTTGAATGAAGAGCATGTAATGGGGAATCTGTAATGGAAAGCCTGTAATGTGGAATCTGTAATGGAAAGCCTGTAATGGGGAATCTGTAACGGAAAGCCTGTAATGGGGAATCTGGAATGAAAAGCCTGTAATGGGGAATCTGGAATGAAAAACCTGTAATAGATTGCGGAAAACTGGTGCGGCGTAATATGGAGGAGTGGGATAATGGAAGATAATGGAAACGCATGATCTCACAGATGAATATGACGCTGATTAAGGTGTGGGTCTACCCGGCTGGGAAAACATTCAATAGATACCTCTGACCCTTAAGAAACCACATGCGATTTGAAGGAGTCCGGTCTGACGGCATCATTAGTATTTGACGGCATCATTGGGCCACGTTAGTTCAAATGGAAAAAGTTACGAAGCAATGAAATTACGCATACAATTTTTCCCACTTCGCAGAAGGAAATGCAATGTCAAAATAGGCGTCTACTTCGTGGAGGCGAGGGGCCCCACGGCCCCCCTTCGGGAAAAGTATAAATTAGATTGGGGGGGAGGGGGGAAATATCTCCTGAAAAGTTAGGATCTCCACAACCGTCTCGTTCAGACTTTTCTCAGAGGAGAGGGAAGAGGGGAACGAGCTCCTTCGTTTAACCCCTCACCCCTGTCCCCTCAACCCACTCCATTCCCTCAAAGTCGCTGCTCCGGTCTCGAGGATGACATGTGCGAGGACGACACCATCCGACGTTGACATCCGCACGCCACGAGACGACATGGAAGAGCGTCGCAGGAGGACCGGCTAAAAATTGGAAACACCGGCGAAGTTCGCACGCATTTATGTTTACAAGCATTCCAGATCGATCGGTGAAATCTTAGGAACTTTGGTTGTAGATCGGATTTCGATTTGCAAAAATTCATGCTCGGTGGTCTCCATGAATTGCGAAAAAAATGCAAATTTCAAAGTAAAAAAAAATCAGTCAGTTTTTTAAGTGCACTTTCCTGTGAATTCGCTGCAAAATATATGGGACATTTTCGAATTTTCGAAAAAAATCCAAATATTAGCATAATTTTTTTTGAGCAGAGGGAAACATGGTAACACAAAGAGCTTGTGGAAAATTGCAGAATTAGTCAGTAGGTACGCGCATCTCTTTAATAATAGCGAAAACCTCTGAAGTGAAAAATGCACAATTTGATAAATTAAATTTCTTTAAAGAAGCGGCATCGTGGCTCCTCCTCTATGCAAAGCCCATTGAATCTTGCCATAACGGGATTACCTGCATCTTGCTCTTAAGATCGAGGTGCATCCACACTGAACTGCAAAGATTAAAGGCATGATAGAGACGGGAAGGCACTCACTCAGCAGGCGAGCAACCACCCAAGCAGGTGCGTCACTCCAAGAAAGCACTGACCTGCCAACATTTTCCGACATCAGCAATATTCCATGCAATTTTCCCTCTGAGGACCCAACAGCGCCAGGAGGCAAATCGAGAGGCAAGCGAAACGCATCTCTTCCATAATATACTCATTGCCAAAAAATTAGCACGACCAAGCAGGAGTTGAGCGATCTTGATGAAATTTGGTACACAAGCTTGTATTATGAAATTGACTAGAGTGTTAAGCTTGTGTGATAAATATTAATGGAGAAAACTTGCCAATTAATTCAATTTCAGTAGCGACTATGGGGTCATACTAATCGCTCGAAACGATTGCCTAGAGGTCTTAACTAATGAAACGCAGCAGAAGCACACATGAGGACGTGCAGAAAAATCGAGCAAAGTTTCGAGATCGTGAGATGAGGTAATTCGGAGAAAACCTGCTTAAACGAGGGATTGGGGAAGAGGGTCGCATCTGCGAGGTAGCGACAAAATGAGATCTCTGGAGACAATTTCAACAAGCTTTTGGGGTGTTTGATCTGTGGAGGGTAGTCGGGATGCTTGCTATGCATCAACTTGATGCATGCATCAGCCTGATGCGTGAAGTTGATATATGCATCACTATTACCCTCCATGTATTGGAATTGACTTAATTGACAAGTTTTCTCCAATAATATTCATCCCACACACTTGAAACTTTAATCGATTTTATAGTATGCTAGTACAAGCTTGTGTAGCTAATTTCATCAAGATCGCTCAACTCCTTGGCCGAGCTTTTTTTTGGCGATGAGCATAATATTGGTTGCATTACTTCCGCCGCTTTTTTGAGAAGAGAAAGGAGGAAAGGAAGAGAGGAACGCCTTTAAAAAGAGCGTCAATAATAGTTTTTTTAAAAAAACATTTGTACAATTCGTGAGTAGCTCCTCGGAAAAACGTTCCTCTTAAATGAAGGCTAAGAGACCCATCCAAACTGTTCCGAGAAGAAAAACCAAGAAATCCGGCGGAGAAAGAATAATATAATTCTATCATAAATTTATTCATAAATTTATTTACTTATATAAGGTATTCATAATTAAGTAATGTTAATTAAGAATTCCTGTATTCATTAGCACTTCTGCTTTCCTGATTTGTTTAATCTGGTAATGTGAGAGGCAAAAAAAAAACAAAGCGTTATCGCCACGAAAACGGTAATTACCAATCGTCTTTGTATACTCAATTACAGATGAGGAGAGAGAAAAGTGAGGCCTGAAATGGCAAGGCAAGCGTCAGGATCCATTGGGTCATCTGTAGCTTCGAAGGGAACGCGATTCCAGGCGATTCCTGCTGTCTTTCCCTCTCAAAGGGTTTCGATTTGGATTCGTGATTTCATAACCTGTGGCGAATTTCATGCACGAAATGAGAGTTTCAGGTGAGACCAGACACGAGAGGCCTGGATCTTCTGGCTTCCAGGAAACGAGAGGGCAAGCTGTGTTACGATGCAATTACCCTTGGCCACGTCCGAGCTCCATGTGTGCAAGTGTGGAGGGCTCCACGGACGTGGCGGTGCAAAAGGAGAATCAGGAAAAAAAGGATGTTTTTGCATGAGGCATATACGAAAAATATATAAGCTGGTGCGAGAGAGCACAGTTCATTTCCGTGAGAGTATTCGAGATAGATGAATCGTCATGAAGTCGTATGTACCTACTACATCAGGATTCCTGATGTCCCTCCTGACGTTCTTCCTGATGTTCCTCTTGGTCCACACCAGTGCCAAGGTACACTGTTCTTGGTCCTTTTGACATTCATTACTAGCGATGCATTTGCAGGACTAATTCATGTTAGTCATCGCCCTGCCAGGAGGAGAGATGGAGTGACGAGTTTGCGGCCAGCCATGAAGGAGGTATGAAAGAGAAGCCAAAATCCTGACTGGGACTCGTGTCCCTTTAGTCGAACGCGAGGCATCTCTAACCTTTTAATTCGCATTAGCCGTTGTGAATAACCCATGAGTTCAACCATCTGTTTCACAGTGAGGAGTTTAGAAACTCAGTGGAGACATCCTCTGCAATACCAGCGCCATACGGACCTCCATCAGACGAACCTCCTTGACCCGCTGTCTCCCCTCTCGCTTCTCGCGCTGCAACAGCGAGCGGCTTCATGCTCTTCTTCCCTCGGTCTAGCGTCCGGGAAAACTTTGCTGCTGACCGATCAAAATTACATCTTCCCCAAAATCTGCAGTTGGAAATACACCGTAAGCAATCGTAAAGCAGTTTGCAGATGTTTGAGAGATCTCTCAACCCCGTAAAATTTGCCTGTTCAAGTTGGGCGGGGGCAGAGACTGCGAAAATCTTTGGATGCAATTGAGATTTTAAAATTCATTTTCAATTTAATGATGAGGTAATATTGTTCGACTGCGATGTTTCCCATACAATTTCATGATAAATTATTAAACAGCATCTTTCCCCCCCCCCCCTTTTAGGGGAGCAGCAGCTTTGCTTGGAATAGACGTAAATAATTCAGAGGTGGCAACTACCCCTCCTCTGAAGGCCCCATAGCCTGAGATTTCTTCGACCTGGAAGTTGTTGAGTAAATATGTAATAATTTTTATTTTTTCACCCAAGTGTCCGGTGGCCATGCGTTTCTCTTGCTCGCCCTTTCAACTCCCCAGAGGAGCTGTCTTCCTCTACAACTCCAAAAGGTTAGTGCACATCCATCCGATTCGACAGTCCCTCGCTGGACGCATCGGAAGCAATTCGCAATTAAAATTCCGTTGACGAAGAATGCTCAAGGTTCTCTCTATCTTTCGACAAGGGGAAGTGCGGACACTTTGGCGAACCCAGTGAGCGTGGGCAAGGTTCTCACGGTCAGCTACTACAGCAACTACTTGCAGGGCTCTAGTTTCTCTTGCAAGATCGATTGTGGTCAGTCAGCTTCAATCATTCTTAATTTCGTTGTTTATGGATATGCAGGTAGTATGTTAGTGTTAACCCATGCGTAAAATACTTTTAGTTAAAGTCTAATAATATGCAATGACTAGAAAAATTTGTTTAGCTTTCCTGGGCAGTTCCGAACCTTTCTTTTTCCTTCCTTTCCCCTTCACCCCATGCTACCAGAAAGCAAGAAGCACATTTAGCGGAAGTTTATCTCTCGCTCCTGCCTTATGGAATTCTCCGAGCAATCGAAGGAGAAGCTGAAGCTAGCATATTTCCTTCGCGGTAGCTCATGCTTCGAAATAATTGTGAAATGGGTCAGTCCATGAAATTCTTCAATCTCAAATGTCCTAGAGGCTTTCCAGGTCCTTCTAAAAATCCAGAGCTGAAACTGCGCACGATTTGGCCCCCAATTTATTGCCGTTACTATGGCATGATCCCCACCCCTGGAGAGATGTAAGAAGACATTAAATTACGTTAGCATATTTAAGCAATACTTAAGGTACTTCTGGAAGATTTTCAACTAGAAAGCGGTCGATATTTAAAAAATGTCACACCCACGATTCTCTGGGCGAAAACAACGTGTAAACTCCTGGGGAAACAGCTCTACACTTCTATGAACCGATACAGAGGCACGTACGGCGATTTTGAGCTATAATGAATCTTGTTTAATTCTTTCTCCTTCAAATTGGAAAGTTGGCCATTAATGAAAAATTATGAGTTTTACCGATCGCATCAACAACACGGAAAACCTGAAATGTAGAAAGCTTGGAAACATTTTGTTCGCCCTTTCAACAGGTTCAGTCGCCACTGCGACGACTACGCCCGCGGCATCCACGACTACGCCCGCGGCATCCACGACCACGCCCGCGGCATCCACGACCACGCCCGCGGCATCCACGACCACGCCCGCGGCATCCACGACCACGCCCGCGGCATCCACGACTACGCCCGCAGTATCCACGACTTCTGTCGTCCCGCCGTCCACGTGTTCCACTTCCCAGAGCCTGACCTATGGGCAGTCTCAGACGTTGACCCAACAGAACTACATCTTCCCTCGCGTTTGCAGTTGGAAATTCACGGTAAGCAGTCGGTGATTTTGCAAGTCCTTCGGAGACACCATTCATTTAGACTCATAATTCCTGTTTACAAAATTACTGCATTTTCTTCTAGTGTCCGTCAAGCATGAATTTAAAATGCTCGCCCTTCCAACTCCCCAATCGTGCTGTATTCCTCTACAATTCCAAACGGTTAGCATGCATTCATCCGATATGAGCGTTTGTTCACCGGAATTTTTGGAAACCCGCAAAACGATTCGGACCCTCTGATGGAGTATGTTAAAGGCCGTTCTCACCTCTTATCTTCTCCCAAGGGGTGACGCGAGCACTCTGAAGAACCCGGTGAATGTGGGCAGGAGTCTGATCATCGGCTACTACAGCAACTATCAACAGGGCACCATTTTCTCTTGCACAATTACCTGCAGTTAGTGACCTTCATTCGCTCTTCGTACGGATATTATTAGGTACGGCATGACATACACTGGTGTCCTCCTTATTCAAGGCACCAATACCGATTGATGCACTCTTAGGCAAGTTATGGGCATGCAGTAAATACATATTAATTGCATATTTTGGAAATTTTGTGGGGTGGGAGGCGATGGATACCGTATGTAACTGTCGTTAATTCCCATCAATCACACCCAACTCATTTCCTTCAATCCATTGCAGCACCTTCATTGCATTCGCGTTTCCTAGGAAGCACCGATTACAATCTGCTGGTCGTCTTTTGGGAAGTACTGAGAATGACAGCATGGTCTGCATTTTGAACTCAACAATCAGGAGAGACCATGGCGGAATTCAGCTTAAAGCCTCTCTCTCTCTCTCTTCTCATCTCTAGATATCCTTGCAACACCGTCGTGAGGTCGATGGGAAAGCCTTTGATTAGACGTTACAAGACATGAAACCATTTCAATTTTCTGGTAAAGTTTGATTTTTCGATGAACGGTAGAATCACTATTTAATTGAGTATCACAACTGGTTCTGTATTTATTTTTTTCTTAAGAACCGTGAACGCCTTCCTGGAAAAGGCGAGTGCTTAAAGCGCCTTTTCTGGGTCTTCATTTGAGGCCTGAGGAAACTGCCTCTTTCCTTCCCTGTCTCTTTCTTCCATCATGCCATAACAGTACTCCGTTCCCCTTAGAGAAATAATTCGCGACGATCGACCCGTTACCAGAACTGTGCAAGATCTCAGAGCAGCGTCATGGGCTTGTTCTGCATTCTGGCACGGCATATCGCTAGGTATCCGTAAAAGTGCTTCCCAGGATGACCAGGTCAAGGATATGTCTTTTCAGAAACGCAAAAATATCCTACATTGAGAATTGCGAGCTGGTAACTTTTAGCTAGAAGAGGTACTTCTTAAAACTGACTCCAACTGTCAGGCACTGCTGCGCCTCATGGTGAGTTTCTACGTCGAATGCGAATAAGGTCATTCAAGACAAACAAATATATTATATTATCTGAAGAAATTATTACCGAAATCAAATTAAATATATATAATGCATAAGATGCAACATATCCCCATACCTCCGAAAGCTTAAGCCCTGGCTGCGCCATTCGTCAGATTTCCTCCTACGGAAAACATGCAAATCGAAAATCCAATTTTTCACTTGTTAAGGTCCTCTTCCTACGACATCCACTACAACGACATCCACAACGACGGCTCCGCCGTATACATGTTCCAGTTCCCAGAACTTGCTCATCGGGCAGTCTAAGGGGTTGACCGAGCAGAACTACGTATTCCCCCGCATTTGCAGCTGGAGATACTATGTAAGCATTCGGTTCGATCAAAAGCATTCGGAATTTTAGAGACATTTATTTCGCAGCGTGGTCAATGAATACGTTTGCCGGATTCCTGAATTTTCTTCCAGTGTCCGACGACCATGTATTTCCAGTGCTCGTCCATGAATCTCCCCAGTGGTGCTATATTCCACTACAATTCCAAACGGTTAGTATACATTCATCAGATGAGAGGGTTGATCACTGGAATAATTGGAAACCCGCAAAGGATACGAATCCTTTGGCGGAGCATGTTCAAGATTTCTTCATCATTTCTTTCCACAAGGGGTGACGCGAGCACTCTGCAGAACCCGGTGAGCGTGGGCAGGAGTCTGACCGTCGCCTACTTTTGCAACTATAAACCCGGCTCCCGCTTCACTTGCACGATCTCCTGCGGTCAGTCTGCTTCAATTTCTCTGCAAGCGACTGTATGAAAGACTCGGCATAACATTTATGGAGGGCACGGAAGATGAAAAAAATGTGGTGCACTCTTTGGTAAAGTGCATGCAGTGGATACATCTACAAAATATTTGCAAATATTTACGGCCTCGATAGCGATGGCAACTCCCATGCTTGCCTGCTTTAAGCATGTAAATTAAGCTCGTCCAGAAATGTGAAGTTCCGAGTCGGAATTAATATATGAAAAATACTTTCCATTATTCAGAGGCGTAAGATTATGAAACTATTCCTATCAAATTTCAGCCCGAGAAAGTCATTCGAGCACATTCAACTTCGAGGGAAAAAAAATAACTGGTGAAATCCAACGCGTTGAAGAGAAATGGCGGAGCAGAATATACAAGAGTTATATTATTATTCAATTAAATTATTATAATATTCGATTAACTTTATTTGAACGCCATGTCATAAGAAACTGACCAATATGAGCATGTCCTATATCGAATGCAAAAACCAAGCATGGGCCATTTCCAATTAATAATAATAAATAAATCGGACAATAGAATTTGCATGAAAATCGTTATATCTTTCCGGGTATTTCCGAAACGGGATAAAAACCGGCAAATAAGAAAATGCCCTTAACTACTGCGAATGATTGAAGTGATTCGCGAGAATCGAATAAATCTTTGTGATTGCAGGGACAAGAATTACAACCAATGCTCCTGCGACCACACCTAGTATCACAACCTCTAGCAACACCGCCTCCGGCACCACCGACACCGCCACCACCGCCTCCGGCACCACCGCCTCCGGCACCACCGCCTCCGGCACCACCGACACCGCCACCACCGCCTCCGGCACCACCGCCTCCGGCACCACCGCCTCCGGCACCACCGACACCGCCACCACCGCCTCCGGCACCACCGCCTCCGGCACCACCGCCTCCGGCACCACCGACACCGCCACCACCGCCTCCGGCACCACCGCCTCCGGCACCACCGCCTCCGGCACCACCGACACCGCCACCACCGCCTCCGGCACCACCGCCTCCGGCACCACCGCCTCCGGCACCACCGACACCGCCACCACCGCCTCCGGCACCACCGCCTCCGGCACCACCGCCTCCGGCACCACCGACACCGCCACCACCGCCTCCGGCACCACCGCCTCCGGCACCACCGCCTCCGGCACCACCGACACCGCCACCACCGCCTCCGGCACCACCGCCTCCGGCACCACCGCCTCCGGCACCACCGACACCGCNCCGACACCGCCACCACCGACACCGCCACCACCGACACCGCCACCACCGACACCGCCACCACCGACACCGCCACCACCGACACCGCCACCACCGACACCGCCACCACCGACACCGCCACCACCGACACCGCCACCACCGACACCGCCACCACCGACACCGCCACCACCGACACCGCCACCACCGACACCGCCACCACCGACACCGTCACCACATAGCTTACCTAATGAAATTTCAACTATCTTACCCGACACCACAATTTTTTCCACCTCTTTTGTTGGCTCACATTCTAGAAGCAGCCCATTTTCTTCACAGGTTTTGTTGCAACATAGTACATAAATTGATGTTACTATGGTGTACGTGTCTCATTAGGACGTTCGAAGTCCTTCCTCATTACTATTCCACCTCTTGTCGCTGGACACTATATTAACACAGCGGCATATATTGACATTCGTAGAGTACTCGGGAGATATGAATTGCTGCTACGGTGGATATTCTGATTTTGACTTTTTGTTTCAATAAAAGAGCAACACATTTGAAGGTCTTCTATCAATTGGCTTAATCAGCAACGAGAAATTTCTTGTGCCACTTTCGCCATTTTGCCCAATGTTTGCAATATGTGGCCTTTCAAATACCTTGCCAAGGACAACGCCAGACAGGGCAAGGAATTTTCGACAGGTCCGAGTCACACAATGCATGCGATTAACGGATTTTTAGGATATTTAATGGATTCAATAATTTCGATTCCACTTCTTCGATATTTTCACAAGAAAACCACCTTCCAGGTTTTGTGAGATCTGCAAGAAAAGTTGCGACAGATGTAGGATGGACCTCCAGGTTCAACACCAATCTTTTTTCACATGCATTCCATGATGTAGCATTGAGACAGAATGAGATAGAATGACTTTTTGTTTCAGAAGTCCTCGAATCAAAATCTAATTGGTCCTCCGAATAATTAATAATTAAGTAATTCTAAGGAAGAATCTGAATATTTTATGTTTCGCCGCCAGACAGCATCCACTTTCCCCTTCGCAATTCAACTCTTTATCCTAATCTAATCTAAGTAATGTAATCACCATGAAAGTGAGAGAGTCTGTATTAGTGGAACCCATTTGAGGGACTCCTCTCAATTGCTATATTCTCAAGACGAGAAAAATTCCTGCCACTTTCACCATTTTTCACAATGTTTGTCACATGTGACCGTTCAAATAACTTCAATAATAAGGAATCAGGCCGCAAGACAGACATGATTCACACAGTGAATGCGATTCATGGTTTTCTGAGAGCACTTCTCTGATATTTTTCACAATTCCACATCCTTTCAGGTTGTGTGAGATCTGCAATCAAAATTGAGGCAAATCAAAGATGGAACTCCAAGCACCGGTCTTTTCTGCGACGCATTTCGCGATGATGCATCGAGACAGAAAACCAATTGAAGAAACATTAGAACAGCAGAACGAGTCCCGGTGTCTCAATTCAATTCAATTCAAGTTTATTGGTCGACATGGAGTACTCAATCGACGTAAATTGGCTTTAGGGACAAAGACGTGAGAAGTAACGAGACAAATACAAGGTCGCAAAAGTATCCGAACTTCAGTTACAAATCAATTTCCCATGTGATATTTATAATTTTTATTATTGATTATTCAAAATACGTCCCTTCCGAAGAAATGCAGGCTTTGCATCGATCATACAACTTTTGGAAACAGCTCTGGTAATCTTCCTCCGAGATGGCGGAAATAACCTCGGTCGAAGCCTTTTGGATGTCCAAAATCGTGTCGAAACGCTTTCCTTTCGGCTTCATTTTTAGTTTGGGGAAAAGGAAATAATGACAGGGTGCCAAATCAGGCGAATAGGGCGGGTGGTCGAGCACTACGACTCCTTTTGAGGCCAGAAAGTTCCGCACAACGATGGACCTGCGAGACGGAGCATCGTCGTGGAGGAGAGACCAGCTTGGTATCGAGGACGGACCCGAGCAATTCTGGCCAGTAAACGCTTCATAACGGCGAGGTAGTATTCGCCATTTACCGTCTGGCCTTCTGGAACGAACTCCTTCTGGATAATCCCAGCCGAATCAATGAAAGTGATTAGCATTGTTTTCACTTTTGACTTCTGCATGCGCACTTTTTTTGGTGTTGGTTCTTCTGGAGTCTTCCGAACTGAGCTCTGGCGCTTCGTGAGTGGCTCATATTGAAAACACCATGCTTCATCACCAGTTACAATGGTTTATTAAAATTTTGGGTTATTATCGGCGATCGAAATGATGTTTTGGGCATGCAACATTCTGGCTTGTTTTTGATCGTCGTCCAATGTAGTGCGGAACAAATCGCGCACAGACTTTTCGCCGCTGCAAATCTTCGGTCGAAATGCGGTAAACTTGTGATTTATTGATACCTATGATATCCTCGATGAGTCTCACGGACATGCAACGGTCGCTTTTGATCAAATCGCGCACTTTTTCCACTGCTTCGTCCGTTCGACTGGTCAAAGGGCGCCCGCTGCGTTCATCGTCTTCCAACGATTCTCTACCATTCCGAAACCTTGCATACCACTCATAAGCTGTTGTACGTGATAGTGCTTGTTCCCCACAAGCCTTCCGCAACATCTCGAGCGTCGCCGTAAATGTTTTCCCCAATTTTACACAGAACTTGATGTTAGCTCTCTGCTCCATGGTGATTTCTCGACGAGTGTCATAAGGGTACTGTTACTTTTGGCGCCCTAGGCAATGACTCATTCGTCTTAGCCCAACCAAACTCAACAGAGTAATACATGAAGGTTCAACCAAGAGAACGCCACCTTCTTTCAACAAATGGCGCCACTAATACTGTCTGTATAGAAAATGTTCGGATACTTTTGGGACACACCTTGTATTACGTGACATGAATGCATGAAAATAGAGCTGTATCGATCTCACAAGCTTTTAACAGGACAATGAGTTCCAGTGAAAATGTTGCGATCTCCTGGATCTTTATAGGAATAAGCGCACCTTTTTCTTTGCTTTGCTATGTAACCGCTCTATGATGCGTTTCGTAAATATGCTTTCTTAAGATTTTGAGACATGATAAAAATTGCTGCAGGCTGGCGCTAAATACGAGGTTCTCCTTCCAAAATAATCAGCACACAGCGCATAATACTATATATTGGAAACCCCCCAGTCATATCCTCGTAGGAAAGGTACGAATAATTTTGAATTAGGTGCGAGAGATATCACCACTTGCTTTTAGCAATCTGCATAACGTCCGAAAGCCACAGAGACACTGTACGTTGCTTTCCACTCTGTAAGAGGGTTAAGGCACCGGTAGAAAGGGCGTATTCGTCCTCACTTCGTCTTCTTTCGATCTGTCCTCGTCGAGTCTTTCTGCAGCTACGATCATCTTCCCAGGACGATCAAGAAGGAACATGCACTTCAGCGAGCGATTCTTTTCACCCTGAGACCTGGGAAGCAGCGGCGTCGGAGCATGGAATCACGTACCCGGGGAGGAGGGATTTTCCTTCCTGACATCCCCGTTGCTGGCGCCGTTCTGGCTGTCAGATCCTTTCTGCGAAGGTGGATCTTCCTCGTTGGTAAAGCATTCTAAGGTGTTCTGTGGACAGTTTACTTTTCATTTCGTCTGTGCAAATAAGCATATGGAATGTGTTATTGTCTATGTCCTGCTACAATAGGATTACATTTAAAACAAATCGGATTTGAATTAATTAAGAGTAATGAAAGGAAAATGCATGACTGGATGTGCCTCAGAATCAGTTCTCTGATCAGGCCAGAAGTCATGTTCAATAACGAAGAAAAAAAGAAGAGTGTCGGAACTGTTAGACTGGCCCCGTGCCCTGCAAAGAACTTTTGTTTCCAGGAACACCTGGGAGTACACCGTTTTTGAATGCATAATGAGCACCTCAAAGGGCGTCGGGAATGTTGCCGAAGTGTTGCGCGGGGTTGCCTCATAGAAAAAATGTTACTCCTTCAATAACGCTACTCAAGAAGAAACACGACTTGCCATTTATCATGAAGAAACACGTGAGAAGACCTCAGAGAATATACTCTAGTACGTTGTCTGGAAAATGTGACATGTTCCAAGAGTGTTGCTTTCTTTTGGTTCTATTGTTTTTCATATGCTCCAGGTGTAGTGCTAGGGTCAGGATGGCCCTAGCACTACACTTTGCCTAGCACTGTGGGTTCAAATGAAAAGGCCAGTGGGAACTCCATAGTGACTCTATTCCATTAGGAAATTGGAAGAACTAATATAAGATATGTAAATAAATAGATGAAAGACAGACAACAGGCTCAGGCCAATCACAAGAATGAAAGACAAGGGTCTCTCACCTAGTTTCCATTAGTGGGCCTTAGGCCAATAGCAAAAGCTTGGCCATGAACAACAAGTGACAAGAACAGGCGCTGGGCCATAAGCAGGAATTTAACCAGAGATAGGCGCTTGGCCACGAATCAAAATATAGGCACAGGCAGGCGCTTGGCCGTGAAAAGGCACTATATAAAACATCTCAGAAGGAGGGACACAAGGCAGAACAGTTAGGCTAATGGCATTGGGCATATAGCGTGTCCAGTCTCTTGGTGCCGGATCACATGAGGTGGCACCCCTGCCAGAAGTTCCCTTTCACTTAAACGTCCCATTACCACGATATGCTGTGAAGATGAGATGTGATGCAGTTCAGACAGGGCGAACCAGCAAGGGATGTGTAGACCAGTGGCGTGCGGTGGTCTATGATACAGGTCATGCAGATGTCCTCAACAGTGAAAACAATAAATAAAACTAAAATGAAAAAATAAGACCTACTTACTTCATTTGTAGACAAAGTCCAGTCGACGTTCTTTCTTAACAAACTCTTCTATCACGCGGTCAAAGAAGGTGTCGCGAATTTTTAGTTTGTTGAGCAGCTTTCTTTCAATGGAGATAGTGGAGAGTCCGGAAAGTCGCGTTCGTTCAGTTGAATTCCTTAAGTAGGTTTCGATCCTCCTGAGTGCTGAGAATGTTCTTTCAATAGTTGCCGTAGTTGAGGGGATGGTGAGGATTAAAGTGCATAGCTTGTAAGCCTCAACCATAGCATCAGTTAGGTCTGGGGTGTGCAACATTTATCGGCCAGTGGGCCCGCATGGAAATGTCTTACTCTTCATGCAGGCCATAGAAGGCAAAAGAAAAGGCTCCCCTCTTTGGCCCTCAGGGCATAACAGGGCAAAAGGTCGCGCTGATTGGCCAATGATTCTTACCTCCGCCCCACCCCTAGGAAAGTCCAACGCCCAAAATTAACCTTTGGCATTGAGAAGCTTCCTCGAGACCAGACGTATGTAGCGCCCCCGCGAGAGGAATAATTAAGGGAAAAAAGTGAAAGGACTCAGTCTATCTTTAGTTTAGTTACTAGGTGATAATCGAAGCTGTGTTGGGCCTTGGGCCGCTAAGAAACTTATTTGATCTCTTTTGCCATTATGCATTACCGGGCGGCAAGAAGCAGGTCCACTGGCCGCACATCCCCGAAATAGAGCGAAGTAGGCATATTCAGTGTCGTACCTGAACTTGCTTCATGTACCGAGCACGCTGCATTCAGCCGAATCCACGCATGCGCAGCTTGGCATGCTGTAGGATGTCAGCATGACTCCCCTAACTGAGCCTCTCATCAGTGGAGCTCCCACGTCTTGTCCCAAGTGCAGGGACAAGGAAAGCTGGTCAGCGAGGTGTATGACTCTAGTCTCGTATCGGGTGCTGTTTAATTACATGCTACTGCGCATCGCAGTGACTAGTCGAGCGCGTGATCTAAATGCAAAACAATGAATCGGATGAAGTAGAAACGAAATCAATTCATAATGTGGTGTTTACTTATGATCATTGGTAAACGCCAGGTTTTCTCGTCCAAACTGGTCATGCAGTGCATGACTTGCTTGTCCAAACCGCACGCCACTGGTGTAGACCAGCAAGAGATGTGTCCACCAGCCAGCGAGAGACGACACACGCACAACGACAAGCGAACCGCCAACACCGGAAGACGGGATCCACTCCGACACACCCCCGGCTCTGGTTGCTTTCTTGCCGTCGCATAAATGTTCGGATGTCGTGTGAGGCAGGGAAGAACCTTCACTCGGAGCACTCCTTAGAATGTTCATCAATGACCATGCATGATAAAATCATTCCTCCGGCGAAAAGCCGACACGGTATAAAAACTTGTCCTTAAAATCTCTGACTAGCTGGATTACTCATTTTGAACAACACTGGATGCGGGTCCTGTCGTCTGCTCCTCAGACACAGGACACTAAATTCGCCCCTACCTTTCGCAAGCTTTTGTCCTCAGAAGCACAATAACCCATTCTCCCACAAGAGAAGAAGACTTGTATTATCAAGATTAGTAATCACAAAATTGAGTGCCCATATATCTTGAAATTCTCAAAATAAATAATCAAAGAAAAATGAAAATGGAACAAAATAAAAGAAATGCCATCACATTAAAAAAAATGTTGGCCAAGAACCAAAAAGCAAATAGCCACTTGAATACCCCAAAAAATGCAAATAGCTGCTTTGGCACGAAGTGAGCAATAACCATGTGGGCATAAACAAGAAGATCAAGAGCCGCTTGGGCAAAAAATGCAAGTAAGTAGCCACTTTGGCACAAAAAGAACAAATGGCCACTTTGGCACATAATGAACTAATGGCCACTTTGGCACAAAATGAGCATCATACTCTCATACTCTAGGACGCTGTATGAAAAATGTGATATGTTCCAAGAGTGTTGTTTTTTTTTTTCTGGTTCTATTGTGTTTTTCATATGGTCCAGGGAGGAGAATTTCTTTCTTCTTTTGCAGTGCAGGAAAAACCAGCTGGTCCGTAACCCCCTGTTATCTGCTGAGCCCATTTGCTGGAAATCCTTTGTGCATTTTTTAACAAGATGGGATGTGTCTCGAAGGATTTCCCTGTCCCTTAGCTCATCACACTCCCTTCCTGAAGGTCAACTACATCCAAGTCCATAAAAAAAATCAGGCCATACGACTATTATTTTCATGGCACTCGCGGGATGAGCTACAGTTAATTCGAACCAGCAGAGAAAGTGTTTCTTTCGAATGAAAATAGCGTAATATAAAGATACAGTGTATATTGGCGACATAGACAGTGTATCGGTACAGACAATGTACAAAGAATCATATATAAAATTGGGTCTGGTGTTCCTGGCCCGATAAGATGAGATCTTTTAGCAATTGCGCTACAAGGGTATTAAAGCGTTTGATGGCATGCATGCCGAAAATACTGTTGTCATTTATACGGGAAGAATTTCTATTTCATCGGATGTTTCTGCAGCCATCCGGAATAAACCACAGCAGGGGAGTTTCATCATGATGGTGTCATACGGCTCTAGACTGTGAAGGGGCTTCGGCAGGAAATTCCAGTTCCTGAGGACCGCAGTCAACCAGTTGGGTCGCTTTCTCTGAAGGATGTTGATGACGACAGCGGCGATGAGGACCAATAGGAAGGGACTTCCGAACCCCACCAACACCCACGTCCCGCCGAGGGAAAGAAGGAAGACGAGGAGGGGAAAGAGGCAGAACATGACGACTATGTACAGGGCTGCGAACCATCGATACTTGGCTGTCGTCTCGCCCAAAATCTTGGCCAAAGGGATGGGAAATCTCATGAAGGGAACGACGTAAAAGAGCAAGATTCCAGTGACGTTGAAAAGAAGGTGACAGAAGGCAGCCTGAAGTGACTCTTTCAGTTTTTTAGGATCGGCTGCCAGAGCGGCCAAGATTGCCGTGGAAGTGGTACCGATGTTGGATCCCAGAGTCAACGGATACATTCTTTCGAGCGAGATCACCCCGATCCCCACCAGAGGAGTCAAGGTCGACGTGAAGACGGAGCTGGACTGAACGAGGAACGTCATGCCGGCCCCCACGGCGATGGCGACGTAGCCGGTCAACCACGGGACACCTGGCAGCTCTGCGTTCACGTATTTCTTCGTCGCCGCTGCTAACGGGCCTGCGAAAGGGGACCTTTGGGATCGAACTCAACCTACACGAGTGAATCTTGTATCTGCGAAGCGTTCAGTACAGACCTTGGAGGATGAAGTTGAGCTTGTTGACCATGGTGAGGAGGCAGTATATCATCAAGCCGAGAGCCAATACAAGAAGAATCCCACCCACACCGGCATCGCTCATCCCCGCGTCAGAAAAGAAGTAGCAGCCTAAATACATGGAACGACAGCATTCATTTCCTTCACGTACGTGCATAAACCGCCAGCGCACGAATCGTATGAAAACGGGAACAGACATGAGTCGGAGTCGTGTCCCGAACAATGCTTGAGTAGACTGGCATTGTTGTACTCAGGTTTGTTTTCGGCCCACCCAGTCAACACCTTGCTGTCAATCTGCATTTTGAAAGAAAAAAAAAAACTTTTAAGATATTCCCAATTAGTTATTGATATCCAGAACTGCAATCTACGAACTTGAACGATCCGGTCGACGAAAGGATCAGTGATGACGGAGAGGAGCTCGACCTCTGCGTCTCGACCCCCGATGTCTCGTGTCATTATCTCGCTCACTTTCTCTAGATAATCTAGAATATCGAGAATGATCCTTTTTGTGTGTTGGTCGAACCGAGAAATCTGAAATTATGAAGTAAAGGACTCTTTGAAGCTCGATGGCCCCTATCTCCCCCACGAGCAAGGCACATTCACCCTATTTACGACCATTTCATCACCATATATATATATAAAGGACTTGCGTACATTGACCCACCTGCAAATTCCAATGCTCTGTCCCGATACTGTAACCGAGGTCGCTCTGCACTTCTCTATCTGGGATTCCTTAACAGTTGCACCCATGAGCGTCGAAGAGCCAAGTACCTTCCCTCCGCGAAGTCTCTGGCTTATCGACATCCAGGGACCGCTTCTCTCGTAGATGAAGAAGAGCCTGTATCGAACTTGTAGTGCTTCCCCGAAGGACAGCGGCTGATCGGATCTCCCTTTCCCCATTGGATAGAAAACAGATCTGTCCTCGCTCCGCCTCGTGCTAGTTCTCTTGCCTCCTTTGATCCCGAAAGTTACCAGTCTTGGCGATCCGTCGTGATTGGTACTCCCATGAGTTCGGGAGGATGAGGCCTCTCTTCCCAAAGCCTCTACTCTATTGTTGCATAATTTCCCCCTATACTAGGCGCATCTTTTGAGTGTCGTGCCTTGTCGTCTTTACGGCAAACATTCAAAGGAGTTCCGATTCAGAGGGTAATTACAGGAAAATACCAACTACACGCGACGCCGCCAGCGAAATCTCGGCTATCCGCAGTCAGAATAGACGATTGCCTGATTCATAATCTTACGGAATCCCCCCCCCCCCCACACTCACGAGTGGTGATTTCGACGGGGAGGAGGACGACGACGGAGAGCCAGTTGAACATGTCGTGGATGGTGGCGCCGCTGAAGGCTCGGCGGAAGTCGTCGCTGTTCCCGATTTGGCTCATAGAGACGATCGTGTTCGTGACCGATGTCCCGATGTTGGCCCCCATGATCATCGGAATCGCCTGACGGACTCTTATGACTATTGAGAGCACAGAACCCGTCAAATTACGATCAATTGTGCAACGGTGAATAAAGGTCATGGATGTTTCATTTTAGCCAATTTTTTTTCCAAAATTGTGAAAATCTCTGTTTTAATTCATTGCTCTTTGACCTCTTCTAATAATATATTTTTACGATTCTTATTTCCCTGGAAGATATGACTCACTTCCGGCAGTAACCAAAGAAACGATGATGGAGGTGGAGGTGGAGGAGCTCTGGACGAGGACCGTGGCCAGGATCCCGATCACAAGCCCCACGACTGGATTCTGCAGCAATTCCGCGTCCGAAAATATCTCACCTTCGTCGTGATAAAGTATCATTTGTTTATCTCGAGGAAGATCTGGGCATAACGAAAGCGAATCCTTGGGATACCTGCGGCCTTCCCGCCGAGCAGCCGGAAGGAAACGGCCAGGAGATCGAGGGAACAAATGAAGAAATAGAGGGAAATGAGGATGACGACGACCCGCACCGGAAGGAGGACGTAGAACTTCCTCGGATTCTTAACCTCCTCTGTGAATTTCGAAAGGAAAAGTGAGTCAAATGCGTGGCTTGAAATGTCGAAACTGAACGCACCAATTACCTTCAATTGGTAACTATAGTAACAAGTCCTGATGATATTTATGCAACGATTATAATTCACGCACTCCTCAGTTTCACGTACTCGCCCCCCCCCCCCCACCTCGCTTCAATCTCATTCATTTCACATTCGAACACGAATATATATATTTTCAACTTCATTCGCGCCCGACCATCCACACGTGAAGTGTATCTGGGTGGATTGAACCGTGAGATTACCTTTGGGTTCAACGAGGTGGCTTTTGCTACCGGCCACGGGTCTCTCAGCCCTAAGACTGGAAGCCCCGTCCTCGCGCTTCTCCTTCATCTCCGGAGACCCAAGCGGAGCCTAGAGGTCGGAGACTCCCTCAAACCCTCCACTTACCCTATCGATAAGCCTAAATCGTAATGGGGACTCACCGGCATATGGATGTTGGAGTGGTAGTAGCCCTCCATTGTTACAAAAAGTTTTCTACCTGAGGCACTTTAAGTTGTAATACACCATTCATATTTTTTTCATAGAAAGACAGATGTCTTTGATGATGAATGGAAAATTTTCAACTTATTTGTCTATGATGGAAAGCTTCTCTGAATTTTTTTTCAGTGCGCTACCGAGGAGTCTGCTGAAGGGGTATTAAAATTGAAAAGAATGCTGTGATGAATTTTCTAACCTTGAAAGAATCATTTTCCTGATGGATATTGCAAAGTAGGGTCAGTAATGCAGTATCCTCTCAGCCGCCTAAAGATCTGCTGAGAAACCGACTCCTTCAAGGTTAGAAAATTCATCACAGCATTTGTTTTTCAATTTTAATACCGCTTCAGCAGACTCCTTGGTAGCACACTGAAGAAATTTCGGAGAAGCTTTCTATCATACACAAATAAGTTGAAAATTTTCCATTCATCATCAAAGACATCTGTCTTTCTGTGGAAAAATATGAATGGTGTATTACAACTTAAAGTGCCCCAGGTAGAAAACTTTTTGAGCGCCCCTCGTACGTTAGTACATCGGAAATTCACAGCATGCAAAGTAACATAAGTAAAAATGGGGCTGGTGTTCCTGGCCCGGCAGGATTAAACCTTAAGACAGTTGCTCTACAAAGGCATTGGCGCTTGATTGCATGAATACCGATAATACACTTGCCATTCAGATGGGAAGAATTTCTATTTCATCGGATGTCTCCGCAGCCATCCGGCATAAACTACAGCAGGGGAGTTTCATCATCATGGTGTCATAGGGCTCTAGACTGTGAAGGGGCTCGGGCAGGAAATTCCAGTTCCTGAGGACCGGAGGCAGCCAGTTGGGTCGCTTTCTCTGAAGGATGTCGATGACGACAGCAGCGATGAGGGCCAATAGGAAGGGACCTCCGACCCCCACCAACACCCACGTCCCGCCGAGGGAAAGAAGGAAGACGAGGGGAAAGAGACAGAACATGACGACTATGTACGGGGCTGCAAACCATCGATCAATTTCCTTCACGTACGTGCATAAACCGCCAGTGCACGAATCGTATGAAAACGGGAACAGACACGAGTCGGAGTCGTGTTCCGAACAATGCTTGAGTAGACTGGGATTGTCGTACTCGGGTTTGCTTTCGGCCCACCCAGTCAACACCTTGCTGTCAATCTGTATTTTGAAAGAAAAAAAAATTCTAAGATATTCCCAATTAGTTCTTGATATTCAGAACTGCAATCTACAAACTTGTATGATCCAGTCGACGAAAGGATCAGTGATGACGGAGAGGAGCGCGACCTCTGCGTCTCGACCCCCGATGTCTCTTGTCATCTCGCTCACTTTCTCTAGATAATCTAGAATATGGAGAATGATCCTTTTTGTGTGTTGATCGAATCGAGAAATCTGAAATTATGAGGTAAAGGACTCTTTGAAGCTCGATGGCCCCTATCTCCCCCACGAGCAAGGCACATTCACCCTATTTACGACCATTTCATCACCGTATATGTAAAAAAAAAGGACTCGCGTACATTGATCCACCTGCAAATTCCAATGCTCAGTTGCGATACTGTAACCGAGGTCGCCCTGCACCTCTATATCTGGCCAGGGATTCCTTAACAGTTGCACTCATGAGCGTCGACGAGCCAAGTACACTCAGAGAAATCGGTAAATCGAGATGAAATACTTCTCTCAATTTTCGCGTTTCGATTTATTTTTCTCAAGAGAAAAAGACATCCACTGGATTTTCGATTTATAACTCTCGCTTCCTGACCGTGCAGGGTCTCCTGAAAGGCGTTCGAAAAACCAAAATGCGTCTATAGCCGAGTCGGAAGGGTGTTTTGAGTGGCTGCGCATCGTCTAGACACATGTTAACCTCCGTATTCCACTTCATCGTGCCGAGGAAGC